ATGATGAATGATAGGGCAGAGCCCGTAGGATTAGAAACCAACTGACTACTATCAAATAAAACAAGTAACTTAATCAAGTTTCGTAACTAAAACAACAGAAGTTCTGATTCCAAGAGACTGTTTGTATTTGAAAATAACTGTCTCCAACAGATTTCACATGGCTAGAGATACACTGCACAGCTTTATCTTTAAATTTCCAACAATCCTAACAGGCACTTGTCCCAGTAAACAGCAGGTAGTAAACAATACCAGCTATGAAATATCTTACTATTCAGCATACAGATCTACATATTTTAGGTCAAATCATGTAACCCATGTAAATTATGATTTATACACCCTCATAAGAACATTGTTACAAAAATCCTTATCAAAATATTAATATATTGAATCCAGCAACATATAAAAAGAGTAACATATTATGACCAAGAGTGTTTACCTCAGGAATGCAAGGTTAAATTAATATTCAAAAATTAGCCTATGTAATTCACCATATTAAAAAGACCAATGCCCTGGTCAGTTTGGCTCAGCGGTTACAGCGTCCACCTGCGGTCCAGAGAGTCCCGGGTTCGGTTCCCGCTAAGGGCACGTACCTCGGTTGCAGTTTGTCCCCAGCCCTGGTTGGTCGTGCGGGTGGCAGCCACTCGATGTGTCCCTTTCACGTTGATGTTTCTCTCTCTCTCTCTGTTCCTCACTCTTCCTCCCATTCTACCTGAACAAAAAATGGAAAAATGTCCTCGAGTGAGGAAAAAAAAAAAGACTGAGAAGCCCTGGCCTGTTTGGCTCAGCAGTTAGAGTGTCGGCCTGTGGACCAGAGAGGCCTGGGTTCAGTTCCCACTAAGGGTACATACCTTGGTTGCAGTTTGTCCCCAGCCCCTATTGGGGTCATGTGGGTGGCGACAAGTCAATGTGTCTCTCTCACATCAATGTTTCTCTCTCTCTCTCTTTCTCCCTCTCTCCCTCCCACTTTGTCTAAAGATAAATACAAAAAAAAAAAAAATGTCCTCCGGCGAGGATTAAAATAAAAGACTGAGAAAAACAATATAATAATTTAAAATCCACTCATGATAAAAAAAAAAAACTCTCGGCCAAAGAGGAACATAAGGAAATTTCCCCAATCTATAAAGGGCACCTTTCAAAAACCTACGGCTAACAACATAACTAACAGTAAAATAGTGAGTGCTTTTCCCCTTAAATTGGGAACAAAACAAAGATGTCTACTTCCACCCTAATTAGTGCAGCTCAATTGGCTGAGCATCATGTCCTATGCACAGAAAGGTCGCTAGTTCGATTCCCGGTCAGGGCACATGCCCAGGTTGCAGGTTCAATCCCAAGTCAGGGTACCTGCAGGAGGCAACCAACCCATATTTCTCTTACATCGATGTGTGTCTCTCTCTTCCTCTTTCTAAAATCAATAAAAACATATTTTAAAAAAAAAAAAAAGGTGTCTACTTCCATTGTTTATATTCAACATTGTACCTGAAATCCCTGCCAATGCAATAAGGCAAGAAAAGAAAGTTGTATAAATTAGAAAGAAAGAAGTAAAACAATCTATGACATGCTTGTTTACATAGTAAATCCTAAAGAACCTATAAAAATGAGTTACTAGAAGAAGTAAATTATCAAGTCACAGAAATGTAAGGTCAATATACAAATTCAGTTATATTTTTATACACTATAGCAAAGAATAGGAAAATGAAATTCTAAATATCTACTTATCAAAAAGAAAAAAAACAAAATACTAGGAATAGATGAACAAAGACACATAAGACCTCTACACTAAAAACTATAAAACATGCTGAGAAAAGTTAAAGAACACCTAACAAAATGGAATGATATATCAAGATTCAATATTGTTAAAATGTCAATTTCTCCCCAAACGGATCTACTGATTCAATATAATTACAATCATAACTCCACTAGGCTTTTCTGTAGAAATTGATAAATTCTAAACTTTATATGGAAATACAAAGAACCTAAAATATCTAAAGCAATCTTGAAAAAAGGAAGGAAAAAAAAGAACAAAGATGAGGACTTACACTACTGACTTTGAAACTTACCACAAGGTTACAGTAATCAAGACAGTGTGATGCTGGCATAGAATAAATAGAACAATGAAATAGAATAGAGAGCTCAGAAACTGATACACATTTAACATGGTTTCAATCTTCAACAAAAGTGTCAAAGCAATCTAATCATGGGAAAAATAATCTTTGCAACAAATGGTGCTAAAATAACTGTATATCCATAAGAAAAAAAAAGTAAATCTCAAACCTCACTTCATATCACACACTTATCAATAGTACTAAATGTAAAAACTAAATCCATAAAACTTCCAGAAGAAAACATAGGACAATATCTTTATAACTTGGGGGTAGGCAAACGTTTCTTAGAGGTCACACAACGCAATAACCATAAAAGAAAAAATGCCACCCTGGCGGGTTTGGCTCTGGGGTTAAGAGTATCAGCCTGTGGACCAATAAGTCACAGGTTCGATTCTGCTTAAGGACATATACCTCACTTGAGGTTTTTCTTCAGCCCTGGTCAAGTCGTATGGGAAGCAACCACTCAATGTGTCCCTCTCATGTCAATATTTCTCTCTCTCTCCCACCTCTGGCCCTCCCTCACACTCTATCTGAAGATAAACAGAAAAATATCCTCAGGTGAGGATTTAAAAAAAAAAAAGCCAAAATTGAAAATTTCTGCTCATTTAAAGACATCATTAAGACAGGAACCCTGGCTGGTTTGGCTCAGCAGTTAGAGCGTTGGCCTGCAGTCCAGAGAGACCCAGGTTCGGTTCCCGCTAACCGGGAACGTACCGGGCGCGTACCTCGGTTACAGTTTGTCCCCGGCCCTGGTTGGGTCGTGCGGGTGGCAGCCACTCGATGTGTCCCTTTCACGTCGATGTTTCTCTCTCTCTCTTCCTCTCTCTCCTTCCCACTCTATCTGAACAAAAAATGGAAAAATGTCCTCAGGTGAGGATAAAAAAAAAAAAAGAAAATGAACAGGAAAGCCACAGACTAGGAGAAATTATTTGCAAAACATATATATATGACAAAGGGCCAGTATCTAGGATACATAAAAAACTCCTACAACTCTATGGTCAAAAAATTTGAATGAACACTTCGCAAGGAAAATATACAAATGGCCAAAAGCACATAAAAAAATGTTCAACATCATTAATCATCAGGGAAATGAAAATTAAAACAACGGTGAGATACCACTAAACATCCACAAGAACAGCTGTAAGTTAAAAGACTGACAACACAAATGTTAGCAAAAATGTAAAGCAACTAGAGCTCTCATATGTTGTTGGTAATATTTTGAAAAAAGATCTAGCAATTTCTTTCTTTTTTTTTTTTTTTTTATCCTCACCCGAGGACATTTTTCCCATTTTTTTGTTCAGGTAGAGCGGGAGGGAGAGAGAGGAACAGAGAGAGAGAGAAACATCGATGTGAAAGGAACACATTGAGTGGCTGCCACCCGCACGACCGACCAGGGCCGGGGACAAACTGCAACCGAAGTACATGCCCTTAGCGGGAACCGAACCCGGGTCTCTCAGGACCGGCAGGTGGACGCTCTAACCGCTGAGCCAAACCGGCCAGGGCTCTAGCAATTTCTTATAAAACTAAACATATGACTATGTATGTTTAAAACCCAGCAATTCCACTCCTAACTTTACCCAAGAACTGAAAACAAATGTTCACAAAAAGATCTATAACAAATGTTCATAGACACTTATTCAAAATAGCAAAAAACTGAAAAAAAAACAGATGTTTATCAACAGAACAATGTATAAACAAACTGAGGTATAGTCAAAAAACAGAATGATACTCAGCAATAAAAAGGAACAAACTACTGATATAATAGCAACATGAATGTACCTTGAAAACATTAGGATGAGTGAAAAAGATGCCTTACTCAAATGAGTACATACTATATGAATCTGTTTACATGTTCCTTTTCTATGGAATAGGCAAGACCAATCAATGGTAGAAACAAAATCACAATGGTTTCCTGGGGTTGAAGGAGCATCTCCAGGAAGGAAAGAACTTTCTGGGGTAATGGCAATCTTTTATGTCCATAGGGGTTTAAGTTATACAGGTGTATGCATTTGTCAAAAGTCATCAAATGGTAACCCTTAAGACCGTGCATTTCATTGCATGCAAACCTTACTCCCTTAAAATACTGAACTCTAGTTTGTTATACAAGCAGAAATATGCAGAAGTAAAATATACTGACATCTGAAACATACCTTGAAGTACAGCAAAAAAAATTAAGGTAGATTAATGAATAGATAGGGGGATGGATACATGGATATGTGATAAAACATTAAATGATAATTGTAGAATTTAGATGGTGTATTTATGGTATCCACTATGTAAGTCTTTCCACTTATCTGCACTTTTAAATATTTTTATAATAAAAGGCTGGCAATAAATTTTAATTATTAGTTACTACACAGATGATATACACCAGATCAATAACAACAGCTGCAACTTTAACTAAGTGAATATTATGTGTGAAGCACTGTGGTAGGTATTCACATATGTTACATCTAATCCCCACAGCAATCCTGCAAGACAAGTAGTATTATCACCATTTTCCAGATGGGGGAACTGATACACTGAAAGACTAAGGAACTTGTTCCAGCCTCATACAGCTACTAAATAGGAAAAGCAGGATTCTAAACCCAAGTCTGACTACATAAGAGCTAGTCTTTCCATTACATCACACTGTCTTAATGAACTTCAAGGATTTGGCCCAGTTAATTGTTTTATCCTACCATGGAATTTTGTGTTATTGTCTTAGTAGTAGAATAAGTGGGTTATAATAGCAGGAGCTTTGGATATCAATGGCACTGTCATTCCATTGTAATGGGATAGGCTATAACATGGCTGCTGTTACTCTTGTCTCCTTTCAACAATATTATGAAGGTGCTTTATGATACCAGATATAGATGCCAAAACCATGCATGACACGATTTTCTTAAAATTCTTTACCTCATTTCTCGTTCTTCATGTTGAGCAATAAGGTTGCTATAAAAATTCTCCAGCGTCACTTTGGTCATTGTCACCCTTTCTTTTGTGTGATTACTCATGGACGAGCAAGGTGTTGAACCTGTCATTGACATGGCTGCTAGAAACAAAGAAAAGAAGAGGTTTTAGTCTCGAAGTTAGAATCTACCAATTATGCACCCTCCTACCCTACTGATAGGAATGTAAATTGGTACAACTTTTCTGGAGGACTAACAAGTAAATAACAAAAGCCAGACAAACAGAACACTTGGTGAAAATAAGTATATATTCATGTCCTATGACCCAGAAATACCATCCCTAGGTAAAAGGCCTAGAGAAATTATCACATGAGCTCTTAAGGTAACAAGCACAAGGATGTACAATACAGAGAATGTTCACTATACCATCATTTTGTTATGGGAAGCTAGAGGCAATTCGGTAAGGAAATAAATAAAAGGCTATGGATACATGTAGCAGTCAGAAGCAAATCTACCTATACCTAAAAGTGACATAAATATATCTTTAAAACATTGTTGTATTTTTTAAAAGGAAGAAAACATGATCACAATACCTTATGTGTAAATTAAGAATATACATTACAGCCCAGCCAGTGTGGCTCAGTGGTTGAGTGTCGACCCATGCACCAGGAGGTCGCCAGTTAGATTCCCAGTCGGGGGATATGCCCAGGTTGTGGGCCCGGTCCCCGGTGGGGAGCATGCAGGAGGCGGCCAGTCAATGTTCTTTCTCATTAATGTTTCTATCTCTCTCTCCCTCTCCTTTCCTCTCTTGCTCCCTCTCCCTTCCTCTCTCTCTAAAATCAATAAGAAAAAAAAATTAAGAATATACACTACAGACACAGTGTAATTCTTTGCCACCTAGGAATCTACCTTGGAGAAATTAAAGACCCGTAAAGACTCATACACGAGAGGGTTCAATGCAGCATTGTAAACAAAGGCAAACTAGAAATAACTTGAATATCCAACAAAAATTATGAATAAGTCCTATAATAAAATAATATGCAGACAATTAAAATATGTTCAAATGTGCCCTGGCCGGTTTGGCTCAGCGGTTAGAGCGTCAACCTGCGGTCCTGAGAGACCCGGGTTCGGTTCCCGCTAAGGGCGCGTACCTCGGTTGCAGTTTGTCCCCGGCCCTGGTCGGTCGTGCGGGTGGCAGCCACTCGATGTGTTCCTTTCACATCAATGTTTCTCTCTCTCTCTCTCTGTTCCTCTCTCTCCCTCTCACTCTACCTGAACAAAAAAATGGGAAAATGTCCTCGGGTGAGGATAAAAAAAAAAAAAAAAAATGTTCAAATGTTTAATGTCAGGGAAAATGTTTCCAATCCAAGTGAAAAGAATAGGTTACAAGACAGATTTTTTTCCATGATCTCAATACAATAGATCATTTTATTCTTATTTGTGCCTTCTACATTTTCTATATTTTATTCAATGGCCATGTACTATTACCAGTAAGTTACCAATAACTTTTAAATTTACAATTTCTACAGTTTAAAAAAATATGACTAAAATGCTCATCTATTGGTATATATACACTCTGATATGTCTATTTGATAAATGTTCACTGTCTATTTGAATTTACAAGTTAAAACAAAGACCTATGATGGAAATACTATTACAAAGAAAAAAAGTAAATAATTTTAGTGATGGAAGATACAAACCAACCAAAAAACGAAACAAAACAAAAAATGCATCTTAAGTTCCTGGTTTTACATTTGAGAAGGCCAATATCAAAAAAGTTTAAATAGTTGATAGAACACTTTTTCCTAATTTAAATCTCATTTTCTGCCAGAAATGTTTGCCAACCTATATTGTCACACTTGGCCAGACTACTCACCAACCTTGACTTGCTCCAGCACTGGCAATAATGTTCAATATATTATACTTATTATGTATTTCTCCCACACAACCTGACTCTAAGTCTGTGATTTCATCACAAAATAAAGCTGACTAAAAATCAGGAGGGGCTAAGGTCCACTTTCATGAAAAGTTTTCTGAAGGATTTCCCCTTAAAACTCAACAGCTTTTTTGCTTTGTAGAGCAAACTAAGGCTTTTAAGGAATGTGCAAACACTTGTTATAACTAAGAAAAAGGACAACATTTTGATTCATGGTGTGCCAAAATGACAGCAATCACAAATTCAAGACACTGAACTATGCTCTACCTTATTATAAAATGTTATATTTTTAATAGGAAGTTTCTGTTAATACCAAAGCAAATTCAAGTGTATATAGGATAACAGAATTAAAAAAAACAAACAAACAAAACCTCTGTTTGTCCCTGGTCGGTGTGGCTCAGTTTGTAGAAGCATCGTCCCATATATGGAAAGGTCTCAGGTTCGCTTCCCGGTCAGGGCACATACTTAGGTTGCAGGTTCCATCCCAAGCCCTACCCAGGGCATGTGTGACCAATCGATGTTTCTCTCTCACATCGATGTTTCTTTCTCTCTGTCTTTCTCTCTCTTCCCCTCTCTGTGAAAATATCCTTGGGTGAGGATTTAAAAAAAAAAAAAAAAAACTGTTTGGTTTTGGGTGTGGTTCCTTATTTGTCAGCCTGTACCCCCTCTCCACCCACAATGAAAACCACATGCACTCTAAGTTTGATGAAGAAATTTTAAAACCAGATTTAAAAACAAGTCTGAAGCAAGTGAGCACTTTGTACTCCACTCCTTCCTTGTCTGTAACCTTTTCAAGATCCCTTATATATTTTAACAACTGAAATTACTTCAACTTAAAAATACAACAACCAGAGAGTTTAAGCTTGAGATAAACAGTGTCTTCCATATAATAGGTGGTTAATAAATGTAAGGTAAGCAAGTTAGTGATTTTTCAATTGTCAATAAAGCTAACAAAATTACATTTATATTGATAGGTATATAAAAACTGGAGGGGCTAGTTTTGACTCATTTAAGTTGCTGGCATGACTTACTAAACTTTTAAAGATCAACAGATTTCCCCTGAGTGGTTTGGCTCAGGGGTTAGAGCATCAGCCAGAGTCGCGGGTTCAATTCCGGTCAAAGGTACGTACCTCGGTTGCAGTTCAGTCCCCAGCCCTGGTCAGGGTCATGAGGGAGGCAGCCAATCGATGTCTCTCTCTCACAGAGATGCTTCTCTCTTTCTCCCCCTCAATTCTATCTGAAGATAAATAGAAAAATATCCTCAGGCGAGGATTAAAAAACGGATTAAATTCATTCAAAGATGGTATGTAGTAAGGCCAACAAATTTTCTAGCAGAATGGTTTTCGACCTTCACATACAGTCTCTAATATAAGGCAAAGGTTGCATTGGCCTTCCCTTTGACCTTTCTTCAAAACCTCCTCCTGCCCTGGCTGGTGTGGCTCAGTGGTTAGAGTGTCCCAGTCAAGGGCAAGAACTTGGGCTGCAGATTCGATTCCCAGCCCTGGAAGACAACCAATCAATGTGTCTCTCTCACATAAATGTTTCTCTCTCTCCCCCCTTCGCTCTGCCCCTTACACCCTCTCAAAAATTCAATAGAAAAAACATCCTCTGGTGGGGATTAAAAAAAAAAGAAAAGAAAACCTCCTCCTGCTCTTCCTCCATTCATAAAAGGGCTAGCCTAATTCTAATAACCTTTCGACGAAAGATACAATTACTCTTACCCCATAGCAATTTATAGGTTCACTGGGTCAACCAAATACTTTAAGTTTTATTTTTTTATTGATTTGTAGAAAGAGAGAAAGAAGGAAGAGAGAGAAAAACATCGATTTGTTGTTCCACTTATTAATGCATCCATTGGTTGACTCTTGTATGTGTCCTGACCAAAGATCAAACCTGTACCCTTGGTGTAACAGGAGGACGCTCTAACCAATGAGCAACCCAGCCAGGGCCTAAATACTTTTCACTATAAGACATGGCTTTCCCTACAATAGCTCAGATCTGGAAAGAGCCCAAGTGTCCATCAGTAGATGAGTAGATAAAAAAGCTCTGATACATTTACACAATGGAATACTATGTAGCTATAAGAAAGAAAGAGATCTTACCCTTTGAGACAGAGGGACCTGGAGAGTATTATGCTAAGTGAAATAAGCCAGACGGAAAAAGTCAAGTATTACATGACCTCACTTATTTGTGAAATATAATGAACAAAATAAGCTGATGAACAAAATAGATCCAGAGACATGAAGTAGGGAACAGACTGACAAACCTCAGAGGGAACGGGGGTAGAAAGAGATAAACCAAATAACTTATGTGCATATATGCATAAATAATGGACAAAGACAACAGTGCAGTGAAAGCAGGGGGAGGGGGCAGGATGGGGAGGCGGGTGTCGATAGAGGGGTGAGGGGAGGGACATCTGTAATACTTTCAACAATAAATATAAAAATTTTTTTAAAAGACATGGCTTTCCCCCATATTTTTTTTCTTTATTGATTCTAGAGAGAAAGAAAGGGAAAGAGAGTGAGAAAGATAGAAACATCGATGAGAGAGAATGATTGGCTGCCTCCTGCATGCCCGGGGATCAGGTCCACACCTGGGCATGTGTCCTGACCCGAAATTGAAATGGTGACTTCTGGTGCATGGGTCCACGCTCAAGCACTGAGCCACACCAGCCAGGTGTTTCCCCCATATTTTTGACAATCCAAGCCTTTATGCCCTGACCTACAGATTGCTGCAGGCCCTTTGCCTATTGTTTCATTCTCCAACTCTGCAGAATTAGGGAATAACAGGTAGGTGAGAAATTCTTAAAAGTTTTAAAAAATTAACAAAAGAACATGATCCTCATAAGTCAGGGGTAGGCACTGCAAACTTAAAAAGAGATCAAATGAAAACCATTGTTTTATGCAATCTAGAGAGTTATACCTGGTTGACTGATTGACTTTACATTGGTATAGTTATCTCTATAAATACTCCTCCCACCAATTCTTAATTTACTTCTTTGTGACTGGACAAGCCAATATCTTTCATTTGAACAATTCAACATTGGGGCTGAGACCATTCCTTAAGAGTCACCTATCTAAATTCTCTTACTAAACTGTAAGTCACTGGAAAGCAAGCATCCTGTCTTATACTACTTGTAATATCCTTCCCCCATCTATGTGCAATGCTATGCACTTAGTGAGCACCTTATAAAAAAGTTTACTAGGAAAACAGTCATTGTATGTGTCCATTACTAGGAGTTGGAAGTACATGAGTGTGATGGGGAATGGTTTTCTATACAGGGTTGGAGGGCAGTTCCCATCCTCTCAGGAGGAAGCTGATATCTAATGTTTGGGGTAGAGTGGAGCCTGTAATTGTGATGGGTGTCTTCTGTTTAGGGAAACCACATCTACTGCCTGGCTAATTCTAATTCACAGCCGAAGTGAGCTGAAAGGGTCTACTTGACCCCAGCCTTCCTCTGTACATTTCAAGAAGAACGAGTTTCTCTTTGCATCTTTTAATCAATTCAAAGTGCAGTCGGGAGATCTGGTCTCTCTACCAGCCGTTCTGCACCCTTTCTGACACAGACTTTCCTCTAGGTCCTTATCAATTTTCCTCTTTTACTCTCTTTCTAAAAGAAGGGTCCTCACTAAATTTTCCTGTTATTTTAAGATTGTCTGAACCCCAGTACCCAAAGACTGGCCATGGGGAGGGGAGCAGACGCAAAGATATCACACCCCAAGGTGGGCTTTCGACATCTCTGCCTCACACGACGGCTCTCGGGTTCTGAGGCTCCAGAAAAAAGAAAAGGAGGTGACAACTGGTAATGAGCGAGATCCCGGCGAAGACAGAGATGGCAGCGAGCAGACAACGCTGGCAACATGGAAAGAAGAGAGCCCGGCTCCCGCCCCAAGTGCACACGGAGACAGGACGGGGTGGGCAGCTCGGGACTGGGACACCGTGGAGAGGACCGGCAAGGAGCCTCGGAGCCGGAGCAGAGGGGCTGTCAGAAGGCTGAGGGGAGCGGCCGAGAGGGAAAGGGAGAGTCCCAAAGAGTCGGGGGAAGGGAAGTGAAGGGAAAAGCCTGGGATGGGCTGAGGCAACGGCAGCGAGACACTCACCAGAGCCCCGAGGGAGGCAGGGCTGTGGGCGGCGGACAGCCGCGGCCGCCGGCCGGGCCAGGAGTCTCGACGTGCGGACAGGAGAAGCCCCAGCGGCGGCAGCCGGTCGGCCAGGGGAGGGGACAGGACGGTGGAGGTGCTCTGAGGTAGGGCACTAGGGGCGGTTACCGGTGAAAACAACAGGAAGCGTCCCAACTGCCGGAAAAGACGGCAACGCGGAGGGGCCAAGGCAGCCGTGTCCCCCGACGCGGAGAGGGGCTGGCGGAGCGGCCACGGGCCCAGACTGCGCAAGCGTGACTTCCCGGAGACGCGGCGGGAATTTCAGGACTGCGCGTGCGCGGGCCCCGCCCTGCCTATCGGAGCCCTCGCCCGAGTGAGGGCAGAAGTGTGAGGTGGAGGGCGGTTCCGGGGTGGGCGGGGGGCCGGGGGGAGCGTCTCTTTGTGTTTTGATTTTTCACTTTTTATTTTGAAATTATTAGGCTCCCAAAAAGTTGCCAAATTAGTACAAAAAGGTCCCGTACTCATCACGGACCCAGCTTCCCTCAACATCTTAACGTAACTCGACTACACTATCAAAACCAGGAAATTGGCAATGGCACAATACAATTAACCAGATAACAGCTCTTCCTTGAATTTAACCAGTTTAGCAAGCACTCATTTCTGCGCGTGCCCGCGCCCAGCTGTGGTACTGTGAAAATGTAAAGCCTGTGGTCATGCCCGCCCCTCCGTGGATTTTCGAACATTGGAGCACCAGGTCTGCTGGAGCCACTGACCCCGCCTGCTCCTCCTTAAAGTAATGATTAACAGGCCATATTTGGGGATCGGGCTCGCTCCTCTGGATTTGGACGTGGGCTAGCGGTGCGTGTCCAGTGCTCCAGGAGAGTCTGCTTTTCAAGGCTACTCAACTGCTTAGTCTGTACCACCCTTTGGGTTAAAGAGGTCCCAAGCTTACCTGTCTTGGGGCACCCAAAAGGAGCACAGTGTGTTGTGGCGCTAGAGAACCGAGAGACCACCAGAGCCAAATTAAAGCCAAATGGAGAGCAAAGTCCGCTGGCCACTGATCCATAAGCAGGAGGGAAGGGAGGTGGGAGAGAGCTGAGGTGGAAGGGAACTGAACTGCGTCAGCACACATCTGTGGTCAGGGTTGTCTTGCTATTCATTCTATTTTCTAAGTTCTAAAAAAACGACAAATTCACTTAGAGGACAAAATTGCTTAGAGGAGTATTTGGGGCCTTCGTCTTATTGGAGGTCCTCTGGCATAGGAATAGTTAGTAGACAAGACTCCTGGTAAGGCAATTTGTCCATTTTTTTGGTATCTGGTTGGGGTGTGCCTTCTTTATCTGGGAGTGATGAATCTAGAAACGGCGACCTGCTACCTTAAGGGCCGTCGGAGTGGTGAGGATTATAGGCAGGGGCCAGTCTATCTAAGTTCCAGTGAAGCAGGCTGAGTTTTCTTGATCCAGATCCAATCTCCGGGCTGAATATTGTAAAGATCTGAGTCACCTGGAAGAGAAGGTTTAGGGAGAGAATATCTTATCATCTGATGGTTCTTCTACTGGATGAGTTGCAGAGCCTATAAGGACTTAAGAAGATAATGGTTATTTAGTTCAGTTAGGGCTTCTTCTCCCAATCTGGGGAGAAGCGGTGGTGGTCTCCTGTACATTATTTTATAGGGAGAGAGACCCTTAATAAAGGGAGTACATCGGACCCGCAATAGGACAAAAGGAAAGAGGCTGACCCAATTTTCGCCTGTCTCTAATTTTAGTTTAGTAATAGTTCCTTTAATGTTCGATTCATCCTATCTGGCCTGAACTGTAAGGCCTGTATACACAGTGTAATTTCCAAATAACTTTTAAAATTATAGCTAAGGCTTGTGTAATCTGGGTGATGAACCCCGGGCCATTGTCAGATCTCATGGCTATAGGGAGGCCAAATCCGGGGACTATTTCTGATATTCATTTCCTAGTTCTTGTCTGAGCTGTCTCAGATTTAATCAGGAAGGCTTCTGTCCAACCTGAAAAGGTGTCAATAAAAACGAGGAGATATTTGTAACCAAACTTTCCTGGAACTATTTCAGTAAAGTCTATGTCCCAATGTTCCCCTGGGTTCTGTCCACATAGTCGAATCCCCAATTCAGCATTTCCTTGTTGTTTTGTATTTATTTGAGCACAAGTAGGACAGCGGGCCTCGGTTTGCTTGGCATAATGGTGAAGTCTTGGAATGTAATAATCTTGATGAAGAAGTTCAATCAGTTTAGGTCCCCAATAGGTGGGTACACTGGTGAGTCTTAAAAATAAGATCTGGTCCTAGTGTCTCTACCAACAGAATTCTTCAATCAGGGAGTATTTACCAACCCAAAGAGTTTATGTTCCCTCTTAGCTTAGTTCCAAGTTCTTTTTCCTCTTTGGTATAAGAGGGAACTTCAGGGAGATTTTGTGGAGATAGCACAGATAAAATCTGGAGAGGCCCCACTGGTTTTTGGGCAGTCTCTCTTGCAGTCCAATCTGCAAAAGCATTTTCCCCGGCCTTTGGGTCACTGGTTGTCTGATTTCCTTTACAGTGAATGATGGCAATCTTTTGAGGTAGCCAGATGGCCTCTAACAGGGCTAGGATTTCAGCGTTGTTTTTAATTTCCTTTCCCTCTGAGGTGAGGTGCTCCTGATAGAGGGCCCCATGTACATGAGCAGTAGTGAATGCATATCTACTGTCAGTGTAAATGTTTATAGTCTTTTCCTTTCCCCAATGTCAGGCTCGTATTAAGGCTATAAGTTCAACCTTCTGTGCAGAAGTACCGTGTCTCAATGTCTGTGCCCAGAGTACCTTGTGTTACCATAGCAGCTCCTGCATATTTGGTGCCGTTTGACATGAAGCTGTTCCCATCTGTGTAGAGATCAGCTTCTGGGTCCGGCTAGGGTGTGTCTCTGAGGTCCGCTTGATGATTAGTCAAGGAGTCCAGGACCTCGAGGCAGTTACGAACAGGTTCTGCTGGGTCATCATCAGGCCGCAAGGTGGCAGGGTTTAGGGCAGTAGTCTTTAGGAACTGAATCCTCAGGGGGTCCAACAAGAGCACTTGATATTGGACAATTCTGGCATGGGACATCCATCGTTCAGGGAGATTCCTGAGTAGGGCTTCAACAGCATGGGGTGCTATAATCTGTAAATCTTGTCCTGGGGTCAGCTTAGAGGCTTCCTTAGTGAGCAGAGCTGTAGCTGCTATGGCCCTTAAACAGTGTGGCCACCCAGAGGCTACTGGGTCTAGTCTCTTAGACAGGTTGGCCATTGGACGTTTCCAGGGACCAAGGGCCTCTGTGAGTACTCCTTTAGCAGTTCCCAGTTCTCAGAGACAAATACTTGGAAAGGCTTATTGAGGTCAGGTAGGGTCAGGGCCAGGGCGCTGATGAGAGTCTCTTTTAGTTCTTGGAAAGCCTTTCCTTCAGTTTCAGTCCAAGTTAAATTGTTTGTGCCCTGGCCGGTTTGGCTCAGCGGTTGGAGCGTCGGCCTGCAGACCAGAGAGTCCTGGGTTCAGTGTCCGCTAGGGGCACGTACGCCCCCCCCCCAAAATGTCTGTCTTTCCCCCTGTATTGGCGTATAGGGGCTTTGCGATTTCCACAAATTGGGGTATCCAGAGGTGGCAGTACCCAATTGCCAGGCACATCAATAGTCAAACAGCTTGCCTGTGAGAATGTTAATAATAAGCCTTGCAGAGAGGTGTTGAGCCCTCACTGCAAAGAAGCCAATACATCCGAATACATCCATGACCGTTCAGACACTTCCCATACATTGGGGACGCAACAGCTGAGGCTCTGAGAGAAGCCTCCCCGCCGGCAAGGCAGGAGGAAGCGGCAAAGAATCACCATCTTTTTTATTCTTTCATGTCAATTTCCCATCTTCTATCATTTATAAATCTTAAATCCTTATTATTTTTATAATTTCCTTTCATAAGGCCCTTCTCAGGTGGAGACCCAAAGTACATCAGAGATATCATTTTATCCATGTTCTAGGAACCATAGCTCAGATCCATTTTTCTCTTTTTACATGTGAGTAAATTGTAGCACCATGAAAGAAAAAACTTTCTCAGTTAAACCAAAAAGAGCTTGATCCTCAGGCCTCTGGGGCTTAATCATGTTCTTTCTTTAAATAACCCAAGCATGACTTTACCAAATATCTTATCTTATATTCCCCTTGAGAGTGAGGACTGTTTGTATAACCCACAGCATTAGCAGAGACCCACATATAAGAGGCATTCTATACATCTGCTAAGTGAACAAATAATCACTCTTACTAGTGTGTATGTTCTTGCATTTGGAGTTTGTGTTTGTTTGTTTTCCCCTTATCCATATTCCAGTGGGGAAATAGACTTGTGTTAAGCCATCTGCATTGATTTGGTTTCCTTTCATAAGGAGAGAAAACAAACCCTTGAGGAATTCCAGGTCCTATTGGAATGACCCAAAGCTAATTCCAGGTCAAGAAAAAGTTTCTTAAAATTCAAACCCTGCAAAGGTTGTCAAACATATTTGACCAAAAGATTATACAGTATTATTATTAAACAGTATTTAATTATTTATTCATTTAAAGTGACAACAACAGATGTTAAACATAAACATAGATCAGTGAAACTTCAGTTCTTATGATTAAGAAACTGAATCTTGCCCTGGCCGGTTTGGCTCAGCAGTTAGAGTGTCGGCCTGCGGTTCAGAGAGACCCGGGTTTGGTTCCCGCTAAGGGAACATACCTTGGTTGCAGTTTGTCCCCGGCCCTGGGTGGGTCGTGTGGGTGGCAACCACTCAATGTGTCCCTTTCATGTCGATGTCTCTCTCTCTCTCTCTTCCTCTCTATCCCTCCCACTCTATCTGAACAAAAAAAAGAAAAAATGTCCTCGGGTGAGGATAAAAAAAAAAATGAGAGTCTTTAAGGAATCAAGTATCTGATTAACATAACATAGAACCATTTCAATAACATATATAACTTTTGCTTCCTAGGCAAATATTGGGGAAAAAAACGTTTTCCCTTTTAACAAGCTGAAAAAGAACCAAATAAATTCTATATTAATTTATTTTAGATTCATGTATCTTATTAAATTCATTATTTATTATATTTATAATTTCTTTCTAAGTTTTCTCTTAACAAATATTTTAACTTTCATAAATCTTTTTATCCTCCAGAAATAACCAGTTTTAGAACAGTTTTCTTTAAATATATATATATATATATCTTCTATCTTCTTTCTAAC